AATTTTTTTTTTTTTTTTTTTTTTTTTTTTTTTTTTTTTTTTTTTTTTTTGAATTTTATAGAACACTTTGAATCTCTGCTCTGGTGAAGATTTCAAGCCCCTTCCTGTTGTGAAAACTCCGGATGCTCATAAAGATGGGGAAACTGAAACCAGTAGCTCTGGGAAATATGTTACCTGCCCAGTTTGCAGCAGCAGAGTAAATGGTGAAGACTCCATTATCAACTCCCATCTGGGTATTCTTCTTATCTTAACTCTTTTCCAGTAACATTTTTCATTATTCAGTGATGTAATCTAATCCCTGTAAACGCATGGCTGAACGAATAAGGAAGGAAGGAGGCAATTGCGCCTCTTAGCTCATCTTAGATTAAAAAAGTTAGAATTGAATGATTATATATATAGAATTATTAAGTTTAGAATTTAAATATTCTGTAGAATTGAAAGATTATAAAATTTAGAATTTAACGCTTTCTTCTTTCAAGTATAGAATTGAAAAATTCTATATATTATGTATATAGAAAGTCTGCACATTAAATTTACCCTCTCTATGAAAATTTATCGTTCTGATGTGCTCGATACATCTAATGAAGTATAGCTTTCAATTAGGTTCTATTCTTTTTTGGGGTACGTGTGTCATTAAATACTACATGAGGCAGTACTGCGTTGAAACTTTCAAATTTCTGCGAATCAGCAAGCTGAAAGAAACTAACTTTTGTCATAACGATCAGATTACAGTTTTCAAACATTTGTTTTTAATAAAGAAGGTAGTTTTCAATATTTGAGCAAAACCTCTGTTGCAGTTATATAAAATTCAATCTTAAGTATCTTGTTGGTGCTGCAAGTAAAGTTTGTACCTTTTTTTTTTGTGAGTTTTTATGAGTATCTGATAATTTACTTTTTAAACCTTATCGTTAAATGGGATCGCTATATGAAGGGAAATGAGTGTTGAGGATTATTGGGAGAGGAGTCCCACATCGACTAATTAAGAGGTTAATCATAGGTTTATAAGTAAGGAATACCTCTCCACTGGTATGAGGCCTTTGTGGAGATTTATGATTCCTAACCCTATCAGAGCCATGCTCTTAACTTAGCCAATTCAATAGAATCCTCAAATGTTGAACAAAGAAGTTGTGAGCCTCGAAGGTATAGTAAAAAATGACTAAAGTGTTGAACAAAAGGTGCACTTTGTTTGAGGGCTCTAGAGAAGGAGTCGAGCTTCAATCATGAGGAGGCTATTCGAGGGCTCCATAGACCTCAAGGGAGGTTATATTGTGTACTTTGTTTGAGGGGAGAATTGTTGAGGACTGTTAGGAGAGGAGTCCCACGTCAGCTAATTAAGGGGTTGATCATGAGTTTATAAGTAAGGAATGTTGAGGATGATTGGGATGGAGTCTCACATTGGCTAATTTAGGGAATGATCATGGCTTAGCAAGGGATACTATCTTCATTGGTATGAGGCCTTTTGGGGAAGCCCAAAGCAAAGCTGTGAGAGCTTATGCTCAAAGTGGACAATATCATACCATTGTGGAAATCTCTAATTCCTAACAAGGAATACACCTCCATTGGTATGAGGCATTTTGGGGAACCAACCGTAAAACCATGAGGGTTTATATTCAAAGTGGACAATATAATTCCATTGTGGAGGTTTGTGATTCCTACCATCAGTGGTCTTGCAGATTATCAATTATGAATCAGAGGCATTATTGAGACTTGAAACCTTGTACCAACTGTTTCTGGAACCTTCGTTACATTCTACATGAGCTATTGAAGCTTAAACCATCTAAACAACAATTAACTGCTATATTTGTTTAATTATTTATCTTTTGCTTGTTATACTGACTAGAGTCTTTGGTTTCCAGATGCATGCTTATCTAGGGGAACGAAGCGGAAATTGACACAGAGCTCTCTTCTTCAATTAAACTTCTATTCCCGACCAAAAGTTCAACATCATTCTCATGTTCTGAAATTTGAGAAAAATGAGTCTTCTGTGGGTCCCGACGATGGTCCTGTGGATATTGTCCATAGATTGCCTAAAGATGCATCTTATAATGAAAATGACAAAATTAAATGCGGTTCGTTAGAAGAATGTGCAATGCAGCCACAAAGGGACTGTTTACTGGATACCTTACATAATAGTGAAAGAACTAATGGTGCTACAGAAATTTATTCTCCCATGAATAAAGGAGCTACATCTGGGATGGTTACTACCACCAAGGATGATTTATCTGGGATGATTCTTGAAACTTTTATTGTTGGTCGTAAGTTCAGTGATGAAAAGGAGTTAAATCTTGGGGCATGCATCTCTCTTGAAAGAGATCCCACCAATGTAAAGGATCCCAATGCCATCAAGGTTCATTTCTTTTGCCATTTCCCTTCTTACATTGATGCTGCAAATATATAACCTCATTTACTTGCCTAATTGAAAATTTCTGGAGATTGGCTATATAAATATAGTAGCGTTGCTTTTTTTTTTTTTTTAATTTTAATTTTAATTTTTTATTTTTTTTACATGTAAGCTTATAATGGCATTGACTACTGTAAATGCATCCTAATATAACCAAAATGTTCTCGTACTATAACACACTTGGACAAGGAAACAATGAACTACCGAACATAGAGAACTCTTGGCAGGAAAATTTGGAAATTTAGATCCGGAAAATAAATTCAGCAGGGAAGCAAAAAAAAAAAAAAAAAAAAAAAAAAAAAAAAAAAAAAAAAAAAAAAAAAAAAAAAAAAAAA